GCAAAATGCAGGTTGACTGACTCTACCTCAAACAACAAACAAGAAATTAACACTCTACAGGCTGAAACAATTGATGCAAAGGGACAGTTAAACAAAATTAAGACTGAGATCACTCAACCAGAACAAAGTGACATCCGTAGTAAGTTATAACAACAAATTAATCTCTTCCAGATACCCATGGCAGTCTGATGACGACAGTGAACAACAACAACAAATCTGATCTACTCGGCTGCTGATCTACCCGAAGAACGAGAAGGCGAGAACTGCTCTAGTGTAGCCTATGAATTAATTTCTTCAAAGTTACGCGTTAATGCTGATATCAAATCTGCTGTCAGGATAGTTAAAAACTAATCACCATAGCACCAAACGAATGCTCATTAAACTTGCAAATTGTAATAAGTATGACCTAAGGTTAATCAGCTGCAAAACAAAACAAAAAAACATTCTATACGTGAGTGAGTGCCTAACCAGAGTGGGTCCCTGCGTCAAATTCCCAAACGAAACCCAAACCTCATCAAGCAGTGCTACAATAGGAATGGAACGATCATTGATAAGAAATAACAGGCAAAGGATTATGAAATAAACTGCGATCCACAGTTATGGCTTTCTTTGCAGACTGTGGCATAGCTGAAAGCATACATCCAATGTCCGTGTCGAAAGCAACACATGAACGTCCGAGCCTTACCCCTTGTCCAAGATGATGTCTCTCATTCTATTGATTATTAAATGTATTCTCACCCAAAAATAGTTCCTCGGTAATGTCTCCGTGCACTTATGGAAGTATTTACCATATTATCTTAGTAAATGTACACTGTATCTTGCCCTACTCAATAGCTTTCACATCCAGTTTATTACTTAAGAAATGCAACTTCATCAGTATAATTGATTCTATAAATCTATAATGTAGTTATTATGTTGAATTCAAATTCCGTATGTACCTATCATTACCAATGATTGGTGCAATGTGTGTACTTTCACAACCCAATGTACGTCCTTGTATCTAAATCAATAATTAATTAAATAAATAAATAATATATATATATATATATATATATATATATATATATATATATATATATATATATATATATACATAAATACATAAATAAATAAATAAAATTAACTTGGGGTAATTGGCTAAGTTTGGGAACAATATCGTGTCGGATAAACATTAGTGACAGAGATTTACCTAAATTCTTGAACATATTTACACTTATTTACATATGTCAGAATAGTTTAGCTGATATTGCACCGTGGTGCAAACTATCAGAGATGCCTGTAGCCAAGCCTAACATTTAGGAGTCTACTGATTTCATTTGAAAGACCATCGGTATGTGACGTCTGCATAGTAGCAAGTTCGTGGAGGCAAAAACCAGAGCAGTTTTCACTTCGTCTAAAACTTATCAAAGTTTTGAAGAAGTTCTTGGTGCTACAGTAAACTCCGATATCGAGCGGAAGGTGTGGATATAGAGTACAAGGGCTGGTGTGTGCGGGGGCGGACTATACAGAGAGAGAGAGAGAGGGCGCGGGCACATACCTGAGCGGTCACTAGGGTGCTCGAGGCCAGCACATTCCTGAAGGGGGCGTAGGAGGGTCTGGGCGCCCGGTGCCTGGAGGCCGCCAGACTTGAAGCTGGCACCCTGAACCACCGCGGGACACTGACTGGTGCCGCTGACTCGCTCCTGGAGGAGACTGCCGCCACCCAGAACCCCTCACACTCTATTATTGATGGTGTCCCCCCCCCTCTTCCCCCATCCCCCCCTCATCACTGTTCGCGAATATTTACCATCACTACTACACTCACGGCACATTGTTTCACACCACAACTATCCCATTCCCTTCGCGACTACTGTCTCCCAGCCCCCCCCCCCCCTTCACTAGCATCCTATTACCCTCACAATTGTTTAAATTAACCTCATTTTCATTTGATTTATTCTTAGTTATGTAATATACATCCTCAGCTCTTCCATAACAGGATTAGCAGAACCATATCTTGAGGTTATCTTGAGATGATTTCGGGGCTTTTTTAGTGTCCCCGCGGCCCGGTCCTCGACCAGGCCTCCACTCCCAGGAAGCAGCCCGTGACAGCTGGCTAACACCCAGGTACCTATTTTACTGCTAGGTAACAGGAGCATAGGATGAAAGAAACTCTGCCCATTGTTTCTCGCTGGCGCCTGGGATGGAACCCAGGACCACAGGATCACAAGTCCCGCGTGCTGTCCGCTCGGCCGACCGGCTCCCCGACATACGACCATGTGCGTAAATTTTATTTAACTAGTTTTATGCTTCTACATTAGGTATTTTTTTTAAGGTATATATCTCGATTCTTGTGGCAACATGTTAGAAAAACTGTCATCCACACTTCCGTGGAAATAAGCATTCCATTCACGTGGGCTCTAGGAGACTCGAACCGCGGACACCGCGTCTGTGAGACTGAAGCTCTATCGACCGAGCTAATGAATAGTTTGTCAGCAGGATGCCGCCAAATTCCAGTATGGCTGCTTCTGGAATCTTTCCTTATTAAACTACTCCATTGCTTGGGTTCGAGTTTCTTAGAGCCCAGGTGAATGTTATCTTGAAGTTATCTTGAGATGATTTCGGGGCTTAGCGTCCCCGCGGCCCGGTCCTCGACCAGGCCTCCTTTCTGTTACACATCCACAGAAAGCAGCCCGTAGCAGCTGTCTAACTCCCAGGTACCTATTTACTGCTAGGTAACAGGGGCATCAGGGTGAAAGAAACTTTTTGCTCATTTGTCTCCGGCTCCACCGGGAATCGAATCCGGAACCTTAGGGCTACGAATCCGAAGCGCTCTGTCAGGCGCCCTACTGAATGGAACATGTTAGACGTTTTTCTCTTTCTTTCCTTTGTTTGAATCATGTTTATGGTTCTTCCCTGGGAGATAACGTCCCTTACAAGTACAGTATAGACTCACGGATTTGTTCAAAACGGTGAAGTTCTTCGAGTTAGCATACTCCTCGATCAAGGAACTTTATACTATATTTCCTCCTGTAGTAATCTATAATCATTACATAATCACTAGTAAATGATGAATTGTAAAGTAGTCACTGTCTGGGAATAAAGAGTTCTCTAAGAATCATCAACATTTTTCAGTGAGCACCTCCACTAAGAGCAGTGAATGACGTGAGTGTCAAGGTCAGAGGGTAAGACCATATACCTCAGCTTTTAACACTCCTCAGATGCTGCCGTTCACACAGCAATGCACCTCCACCACTGCCTTCTGAAAACCGACACTCATTTACTTGGGCACTAGTATACAAAAATATGAGGTGTTCAGATCTGAAACCTATGTTTATGGGCAGCACAAAACGTCCACTAGACTGTGCGACACAGTGGTTGCCAGGATCAGGTTGGATTACCGTTACCTGTGGCAGGTGGCTGCAGGTGACGGATCTCCCAGTCCTAAGCACTCCAGGTGCAAACTCTGTGAGCAGGAACTGCAGCATGATCTCGCACGTACACTACATCACCGAATGCCCAGTTATTAGACCTTTCAGACCCGTTGGCATGAGGTACCTGGAGCTTTGTAATTACTGTACTTTATACACTCTCGTGTTCTTGAGGATATTTTCATAATGCACCCAGAGTTTGGCAGTGCAGGCTACTGATCACATGGCTCTGCATGACTAACCATCCTCTGTGATGGGGATTTTTACCATCACGTAGCCTAGTTCTTGGCACACTCTGTACTTCCTTTCATATAATTTAGGGTACCTGCACAAATGCAAATGTACCTAAATGTGTTAAAGAAAGACAAGACAAGACAAGACAAGAACAACAACAACAACAACAACAACAACAACAACAACAACAAGAAAAGATGACGCATGGAAACTCTTCGGCAATGGTACGCCTTGTTTTACTATCTTAACTGTCGACCTCTGGGCCCTCGTCGTCGGTCCCTTCTTCCCCGCCTCCCACAACCCATACAAAAAAAAAAAACACAGCCACAGCATCACCTTCACTCGACAGACATCACTCAGCAGTCAGCATTTGACCGATAGAATAGACTACCAAATGAATTGTGACAGAACCAACGTTGCTGCTCTCAGTCATAAAATGGAAAGTCTCTTCGATACAAGTTCCGACAGTGATGGCGACTGTCGTCCTGTGACCAAAGCCAACAGAAAGAACCACTCCATTACCACCTATCAAGAACATAGTCCTCTACCGATGAGCACTCCAGCTACTCAGAGTAAATCTACACTGCCAGTCTTTCAATTTCACTGACTTTCAATTACCACTGACTTTCAATTTCACTAAGCTTAGATTGGTCAGCTAGTACTTATGGAAGTTCTGAAAATGGTGGCCGTGTGTGGCTAAGGCATATGCTAGGTGACAAATTTTTCACTTTTTTTAAAGTTTCAACATTACTTAAAATACGAGAAAGAAACTATTTGCAAGCTTTGACTAAAAAATTATGGCATCTTTCTTGAATATTTTGAAACTTTTCCTGGGTTATAATTTTTTTTGTCTGTTAGTGTCCCGAAGTGTTGAAAATTCGTAACCAAAGTCAACTTTCTCCAGAGGCAGATATATGGAATCGTAGTCCAAATTAACATGAAGCTTTGCATGATTAGGACGAACGATTCTTCTGAGTATTCCAAGAGTGAAGTTTTCTAAGACAGTGTGAAGGCTACACTAATCTTCATATGAAATATAGCTTATTGAAGGGACCAGAGTACATTGAAAATAGTTGCCTTGCAACATATTTATCACAAGAGGAAAAAACTATTTGGTAATGAGTTGTTAGAGAATCCCACTGATCAAACAGCCTCTTTACACTACCGCTCCTTGCCAACCATCGTCTTCCTGACAAAGGTATTAACTGTAAGGGATCTTTCCCGTCATTTATTAATCTGTAAATTTCTAGATAACCTTCTCCACTTAATGAAGATCTGTGGAACCAGGTGTAGCTTTTGGGATGAAGTATTAATGACAATTAAGGTTGGGAAATCTATGGCCCCTGGGGAGGATTACCTTGCCTTGCGGTTACTTTTTCTTTCGAAGGTTCCTAGGATCAACGTCCCCAGGGGGGCCGGTCTCTGACCAGGGCTCCTGGGGTAAGTGGTCTAGTCAATCAGGCTGTTGGACGCGGCTGTGATTTGTACACATTATATTATATAAAGCATAAAAAATCATCAAATAATTAACGCAACAGTAAAATGTGTACTTGGTTGTAACAACGATTCTTCGCGGCTGGGATCGTATTCCATGCAGCTAGGGACCTGCCCAAAACGCTACGCGTACTAGTGGCTGTACAAGATATGTTGGATATACCCATGAGAGTTTGGAAGCTGAGATGAACAGACTGTTGGGTCAATGTCGAAAGAGATTACAACCTCTGAAGGCTTTGGCATGCTGTGGAAAGGGAGTGGGAGTCCCTGTGCTACGAATGTTATACTTGAGTACTGTAAGATCTCTTATTGATTATGCTGCACCTGTCATTTCTTGTTTTGGTAAAGGTAGGATGGGCAAGTTGGAGAAGGTACAAAATGAAGCAATGAGAATTATCTTAGGATGCCCAAGAAATGCTATGATTGAGATAATGAGGATGGAGTTGAATCTGCAGAGTATTGGGGATAGAATTTCAGAGATAAATGTAGCCTCTGCCATTAGATTAATGAGAGGTGGGGGAGCTAATGAATTAATCCTCTCGGTTCAAAAGGTGGGAAGTAGTGAACAGTGTATGATGAAGAAGAGATTATATATGAATAAATTATGTTATAATGTTATAAAGTATGATGTTATTACAGAGTGTATTGCTGTGCCCAAGAGAAAATTTACACCACCATGGGAGGATTGTAATGTATATGTAGAAATTACTCCCTTGCATAAGAAAAAAAGTATGTATGAAATAGGAGAGCTGAGGGCAACATATGATTGTATAATTAGAAAACTGCCTACGGAAAACACTCTACATGTATATTGTGATGGGTCAGTAGCTAGGGATGGGAAGGCAGGATGTGGAGTCTTGATCAGGGAGTACACTGACATCGGCACTGTAGATACTGTTATCAGACGCCGCTTAACTGACAATGTCTCTTCAACGCAGGCTGAACTCCAAGGAGTATTAGCAGGATTACAGGAAGTAGTCAAATGTGGTAAAAATGCTTGCTTCTTTGTTGACAGCAGAGGAGCGTTAGAGTCTTTAAATAGCAGACGCCCAGTATATCAGAATATTGTGATAGAGTGTAGAGAGAATGTTAAGAGACTAGAAAAAACTGGGTATAAAGTAAGTTTCATGTGGATCCCTTCACATGTGGGAATACTGTTGAATGAGGTAGTTGATGACATAGCGAAGAGAGCCACTGAAAAAACTCTTGTTGATGTTGTATGTCAGTTAACCTTGAAACAAATAAAAACAAGACTCAAGGTGATTCAGGAGGGTGAAGAAATGATAAAGAGAATGGCAATGGTGGACAGTAGTAACACACTTAAGAATTATTCAATAATAAATACAAATTCGTCCTTCACTTATGGTAAAGGAAAGTCTACTTGGAAGGATTCAATTTACATGAGATTACGATTAGGATATAAATATATCTGGCAATACGGTGTTGATGTCAGTGAAAAAGATAAGGAGTGTAAATTATGTAGTATGCCGTACGCCCACACCTTAGAACATTATGTATTAGAGTGTCACCTTATTGAAAAATATAGAAATAAGGAAATAAATAGTGTACCACATCAAATTGTTTGGATGTGTGATAATGGTATAATAGACAGTATACTTAGGAGCTACAAGAATTTTGCCCCAAGAATGTTACAATTATATGCTGTACTTGCTGTATGCAATGTTAAATGGGATTCTTGTACTGTTATATGTCTATTTGTACTCACTGAATTTGTGCGCCCCTTGAGGGACTTGAAGTAGAGGGGGGTAGAAATAGCCTAAGCTACTCTATCCCTTTGAGATGTATTTATTGCTTATCTCAATAAACATACTTGAACTTGAACTTGAACTTGGCTGTACAAGAATGTAACAACTCTTGTATATATCTAAAAAAAATAATTGAGTTTCTTAATATTAATAGGATAAAGTAGCACAACTTGCTTTAAACTAGCCCAAAAAGTCGCAAGTAGCGAAATGAAAAATTTGGAAGCGCGGGGCTCTCAAAAGTAGCCCAATTCGCTACTTATAGCTCAATCTGGCAACCCTGCCGCAAAGGTCGAGAGTGTATAATTGGACACACATGACCGAGGACAGTAGATATTTCAAGAAATATACTGTAACAACAACAATAATAATAATAATAATAATAATAATAATAATAATAATAATAATAATAATAACAATAACAACATTAATAATAATAATAACATTAATAATAATAATAATAATAATAATAATAATAATAATAATAACAATAATAATAATAATAATAATAATAATAATAATAACAATAGCGTATTTTCAACAATGAAAATGTTCCATAGGTACATGAGGTTATACAAAAAGTACTTGTATTGTCACAAAGTAGCCCTGTATATTACATAACTGACCTTTACACCTTTAGTAAGAATATATATAGAGGCAAATGTTGCGTTATTTAACACCTCAACCTCAAGCCCATATAACTCTGGGAGGCTTAACGAGCGAGCGAGTAAAATCCCAGTGATCATCCGGGTCAGGTCGAGGAGGTGTAATTGAGGTTCGTCAGCCATACCCTCGCCGATGGCCTCAGATTCCGCCAGCACTTCAACCATGGTGAGTCTCTCGCTGTCTTGCTTGCCTTTTTGGTGTGTGTGAATGGTGTGACATTGGAGAAGGTGGTGGGGGCGGGTTTTCACGGTGAGAGAAGAGGATTGCTGCGACGGCTTCACGCGTGTGGACGGCCCAAAAGTTGACTACCCTCCTCTCCGCTCACCATGTTGTTTTAGATTCACCTACTGGGAACGAAAGTTCCAAGTAGCACGGGCTATGGTGAGCCCGTAGTGGACTTACCTGGCACAGGAGCGAGGCTGTGTATGTGTCTCCGCTCACCAGTTCCTGTTGTGGCTTTTATCTATAGCTGTTCGGTCCTGCTCTCGGCTCCTGTTATGGCCTTGCTCACGGTGCCTGTTGTCGACCGTTGCTCTCGGCTTCTATTGTAGCCCCCTGCTTTTGGCTCTTGTTGTGGCGAGCGTAATGGTTTCTGTGGCGCCTGTCTGCTTTCTCGGCGGTTTTGGCCTCCATTTTCAGACTATCTATGGTCCTAGGTGCTCTTGGTATGCTTGTTGTGGCCCCCTGCTCTCGAAACGCCCGTTGTGGCCCACCTGCTCTCGGAATGCCCGTTGTGACCCCCTGCACTCGGAATGACAGCTGTGCCCCCCCCCTGCTCTTGACAGGCCTGCTTTGGCCTCCCCCCCCCCTCTGCTCTTGACTTGCCTGCTGTGGCCCCCTCCTGCTCTCGGAACGCCTGCTGTGGGCCCCCTCCTGCTCTCGGAACGCCTGCTGTGGGCCCCCTCCTGCTCTCGGAACGCCTGCTGTGACCCCCTCCTGCTCTCGGAACGCCTGCTGTGGCCCCCCGGGCTCTCGGAACGCCTGCTGTGGCCCCCCAGGCTCTCGGAATGCCTGCTGTGGCCCCCATGCAACCCCCGCTCTCGGAATGCTTGCTGTGGCCCACCCCTGCTCTTGGCATGCCTGCCATGCCCCCCCTCGCTTTCGGAATGCCTGCTGCGGCCCTCCCTCGCTTTCGGAATGCCTGCTGCGGCCCCCCCTGCTTGTAGTCCCCTTCCCCTCCTCTCCCAACTTGTATGTACTTTACCTGAATAAACATTTGAATTTGAAAATTTTGAAACTCGACACGCCTGCAGTAGCCCCCCCCCCTGCTCTCGGCATGCCTGCAGTGGCCCCCCCCCTGCTCTCGGCATGCCTGCAGTCCCCACCCCCCCCTGCTCTCGGCTTGCCTGCCATGGCCCCCCCTGCTCTCGGCACGCCTGCAGTGGCACCCCCACCCTTGCTCTCGGCACGCCTGCCGTGTCCCCCCCACCCTTGCTCTCGGCACGCCTGCCGTGGCCCCCCACCCTTTCTCTTGGCACGCCTGCCGTGGCCCCCCCACCCTTGCTCTCGGCATGCCTGCTGTGGCCCCCCCACCCTTGCTCTCGGCACGCCTGCCGTGGCCCCCCAACCTTGCTCTCGAGACGCCTGCCGTGGCCCCCCACCCTTGCTCTCGACACGCCTGCCGTGGCCCCCCACCCTTGCTCTCGACACGCGTGCCGTGGCCCCCCACCCTTGCTCTCGACACGCGTGCCGTGGCCCCCCACCCTTGCTCTCGACACGCCTGCCGTGGCCCCCCACCCTTGCTTTCGACACGCCTGCCGTGGCCCCCCACCCTTGCTCTCGACACGCCTGCCGTGGCCCCCCACCCTTGCTCTCGACACGCCTGCCGTGGCCCCCCACCCTTGCTCTCGACACGCCTGCCGTGGCCCCCCACCCTTGCTCTCGACACGCCTGCCGTGGCCCCCCACCCTTGCTCTCGACACGCCTGCCGTGGCCCCCCACCCTTGCTCTCGACACGCCTGCCGTGGCCCCCCACCCTTGCTCTCGGCACGCCTGCCGTGGCCCCCCCCCTGCTCTCGGCACGCCTGCCGTGGCCCCCCCCCCTGCTCTCGGCACGCCTGCCGTGGCCCCCCCCTGCTCTCGGCACGCCTGCCGTGGCCCCCCCCCCCCTGCTCTCGGCATGCCATTGGTGTGCTGGCGTGCTCTCGGCACGCCAATCTCCATAATTTGATTGGAACATATTTTTGAACAAGTTCTGTGATGACCTCAAAGTTTTGTCAAGATGTTTCCATGCCATGTTCAGTTATTAGCTCCCTCCAGGAGATGTTTTGCAGTTTCTCTCTCGTTCCTTGATAGTCACCTTGATGGTAATCTAGAAATTCTTCGTCACGAACCTTCGTCGGTTTCTTTATTTGTAGTCCATCTCAAAATATGGTAATCACATGATGGGGTTAGCTTTTCTACCTGAATTTGAATTTCATACCTCTTCTGATATTAGCAAGAGATCTAGTATGCTGTTACAGTACCATGGCATGCCTACTACTACTACTACCATGTGTAATTACCTAAGTGTAATTACAGGATGAGCGCTACACTCGTGGTGTCCCGTCTCCCCAGCACTCTGTCATATAATGCTTTGAAATTACTGACGGTTTTGGCCTCCACCACCTTCTCACTTAACTTGGTCCAACCGTCTACCACTCTGTTTACAAAAGTGAATTTTCATATATTTCTCCAGCAATTTTGTTTCTTTAATTTAAATCTATGACCTTGTTCTTGAAGTTCCGGGTCTCGGGAATTCTTCCCTATCAATTTTATCGATTCCTGTTACTATTTTGAACGTAGTGATCATATCGCCTCTTTTTCTTCTATCTTCTAGTTTTTACATATTAAATGCCTCTAACCTCTCCTCGTAGGTCTTGTCCTTCAGTTCTGGGAGCCACTTAGTGGCATGTCGTTGCACCTTTTCCAGTTTGTTAATGTGCTTCTTAAGGTATGGGCACAATATAACTGCTGCATATTCCAGCTTTGGTCTAATAAAAGTTGTGAACAATTTCTTTAGTATTTCTCCATCCATGTATTTAAAAGCAATTCTGAGGTTAGAAAGTGTAGCATAGGCTCCTCACACAATGTTCTTGATGTGGTCCTCAAGTGACAGTTTTCTATCTAGAACCACCCTAGATCCCTTTCTTTGTCAGAATTCTTTAAAGATTTCTCACATAATTTATAGTTTGTGTGGGCTCAACCACATGCTGTATGAGAAAGGAGTCTCGAACCAGGTCTAGAAATTGTTCTCCCTCTGCTTGAGATGTTAGATTTACCCAATTTATGGTTTCATGGTTAAAATCTCTCATTATTAGTGTTTGAGTTTCTGGTGCATCTTTGCACGTGTGCCGAGCACTTTGCATCATTTGACCTCTTTTCTAGCCAAAGGATGAGCTCTGGTCTTGTTGGATGACAGGGTTAGATAACCAGCTTGTTGCCACCAGCAGCAGCTAGGTAATTGTGCACCTCCTATTCATTTTGAGTGATAGTGTAGGATTATAGTGGGCAGAAGCAGTCTTAATCTGACTCCACTGGAAGTTATGTGACATTGGTTTTATGTTCACCTTACATTTAATTACAGTAACTACTAATAGAACTAGTTTTTTAGTTAGTTTAGTTCATTTATTATGCACCCCATGCCCATCTAGTGGGCGGTAGTGGAAAGGGTTACAGAGGCACATAATGGGCTCAGGGACTGAACCCCACAATTCATTTAGCTAAGCAAGTTACAATCTTGATGAGCTAGTAGAACTAAAATGACTTTTCCTGTTATTGATTTAAACTGAGATTTGTTTACTGTATCACATAGGTGGATGAATTATTTCCTGATTGTGCTGTGGCACACTTGTGGCACACTTTCTCAGATCTTTTTCTAGTGCTGTTAGCCCTACTGATAGGTCTTAATGTGCTTGCCTCCTATTCTAGGTGTGGTGTGCTTTCGGTGTGCCATTCCTGTTACAGCACTTGGATACTATGTATCTCTTCAGCAGCTATCCTAACTCCTTATTCCTTTTGCCAATCAGCTTGATAGACACAATCTCCATAATTCACTCACTTGAACCAAAGCTGGGGACATTAGTGAAATACCAACTATGATATACAAAAGTACTGTTAGCGTCCTTGCACCAGCCATTGCTATCGACCACATGAGCTGGACGATAGAGCAACAGTCTTGCTTCATGCAGGTCAGCATTCAATCTCCGATTGTCCAAGTGGTTGGGCACCATTTCTTACCCCAGTCCCATCCCAAATCTTTATCATGATTCTTTTAAGTGTTATATAGTTTTAATTGTTTGGTGCTTTCCACTGATGTTCCCTAGTTCTTGCGAGACTGCTTTTCCTAATACACTACAGAGGAAGTGTATTCGGAAAAGCAGTCCCATCTACGAGCATTTCAGGTAACGAGCGAACCACTCGCAGAAAATTTGTCTCGATTGACAAGCTTCCGCTGAGAACCACATGGTGCTTCCTAGCGGTCCCGCTGGCTCTAGCAAATTCTCGGATGCCTCCAACGCCAATGTTGTTTTTACCGTGCAGGATAAGCATCCCTCTGCATTTACATGTGCTTTATTTTTTGTTGTGACTACAATTTGTAGCCCACAATGTTGCCAAAGAAGCTGCTTGCTAAAGATAGTGTTGTCAAGAGGAAGAAAGGCACAATTACTGTAGATTTGAAGAAGGAAATTCATATGTTTTTTTTTTTTTTTTTTTTCGGGGGTGGAACAGATTGTTTCCATTATTTTAAATGGGGAGATTCGTTTCGCAAGACAAGCATTTCGCATGATGAGCTCGGTGCCAGAACAGATTAAATTCATTAGCCGAGGTTTCTCTGTATTGTATACTAAAATGAGCAAGAGTAACTTGCTCTTTTTAGTAAAACGAGTTCCTAAAGGTGGTGATACAGCTGACATGAACAATTACAGAAAAATATCAAACCTACCAGTATTATACAAATGTTTGAAAAAATTATTTTATTTTATTAAATATTTTAACTTTTGGACACTTTTTGACGCTCATCACCACAAAATTATTAATATCTTTCTAGGGTTCTTACATTAATTTTTGTGTTACGTCTTTCATTTTGGTATCGTCTTTCATTTTGGTATCAAATTGTGCGCAATCTAAAGGCGCTCATTTTGAAACCACCTAGAAGTTCATCAGATAAACATTGAATTTTTTACAAATATTTTAATACATGACACAAGCCATAGTCACTTGCTCAGAATCGGGAGAAAATTGAGTGACGACTGGTGGCAGCGTTAAGTGTTATTATGCTCTCAGAATAATATATGATCTTCATTTTAATAGACTTAGAATATAGATTTTCAGTTTAGTTTACTTAAAAAAAAATTGTCAATATGGCATTTGAAATATGCACTAAATTCAGACAACAAAATTTATAACTCCAAACATTTAGGGTTTATGAAAAATCCATTCTAATAGGTTTGTAGAACAGACAGCTGTGCACACTATATGTAAAAATGGTGAGAATCGGTCAGAACCTGGATTTTCTTAAGTCGACTCAAAGTTGAAACTCTAGTTTTAGAGAATTGAAATTGAAGTTATCGACAATGTATAAGGTAGTTCTAATTCATTAATTTACTTGTATGTTTTAATAAACATTGTTTGGCATTCGTACTCAAATATGTGAAAGTTGTAGGTCAATATGTGTTGGAATGAAGTGAATTTAGTGAGATAAAGATGTATACTTTATATAAGTGAAAAAACCCTAATCATCAAAACAACCTAAAGAGAAGAAGAAAATAGTTTTGAAATATGTGAAAAATCAGTCAAAAAAGTTCAAAGTCCCAAGTTCTGCCAGTCATGACTGATTTATTTGTTGACCAATTTAATTCTATCTTCACATAGTTAGAGATGGGTATACACTCTCCAGGATGTAGAGTTTACACCAAAATCAGATAATAATAAAAAAAAAATCTCTCCTAAAAAATTTGTTTACATTGGTGAAAGTAACAGATATTACAATTGAACAATGTATTTGTACGATATATATAACAAAATTGAGCATAATAACATACTCATTATTATTGGTGTTATTATGTACAGTATTACTAGGCAATGCTATAAAGGCACCAGCTGCATATCCACTTTGTGGACACTTCTAACTACTTTTCTTCTTTGTGCATCGGTCAGGTGCTTGCATCTCCTTATTAATGCATTATCCCTCGGTTCCAGTTAATAGGAGCTGTTCTCCGTATCAACAAAATGCTCTTCTTTTTAAAAAAAAATTGTCTAAAATCCATTTCTGAAAATATTGGGATGAAACTTTCACGACGCTGAAGCCAATAAGTTGAAGATTTGTTTAACATTTATTATTAATTTTCACATAATTCAAATATTTTTTTGCCCAGCCCCAGCTTATACCCCCCATTTACAGCCCAGGCTGTAGCAGTGTAAGAGTTAAGAGTAAAAATGAGGCAAAGCTCTTTGGCCTGTATATTTACAAGAAACTTCAGTAATCACATACAATACACAACCAAAAGTTTTTGTATACACTCAAAAATCAGTATACACCCCACTCTGCTCTTCTCACAAATTTTGCTAATCTTGTGATCTTATGACCCCATCTGACTTGTGATATCTTCATGGGGTGCCACCAGTGCAAACTACTACAAACCCATCGTCACCCAGCAAAAAATTTATCATCAGAAGTGTAACACATTCTGCCTTTAATAAAACGATACACAGCCCCTCGGTTGTAATCTTTGAACATGCTAAGCATACACTCGCTGTACACATTCTCGTGTGTTGAGATAACACTTTAGCGAGATCAGATTTTATGCATCAGGAGCCACTGGAGGACCAGCAGAAGAGAACATTTCATTACTTTTAAGGCATGGCTGTTAAAATAAATCATTGTCAATATAGAACCAATACAAAATTTCCTGGGCATGTTGTGGATTTTATAGCTAGTGCTTGATTTGTTTTTTTGTTATAGCACTGATAACTTAATTATTGAACATAAATTTAAAGCTTATTGTTTCAGAATAACGGTGAACAGCAGTGGGATGAGGCTGGAGGAATGAAGCAGGATGGAGGAATGAAACGGGGGGAAAGAAGGCAACAGGAGGAAGGAAAGCAGCAGAGGAAAGGAAGGAAGCATAAGCGTAGGCAGGAGAAGGAAGGCAGCCAGGAGAAGGAAGGCAGCCAGGAGAAGGAAGGCAGCCAGGAGAAGGAAGGCAGCCAGGAGAAGGAAGGCAGCCAGGAGAAGGAACGAAGCCAGGAGATGGAAGGCAGCCAGGAGAAGGAAGGCAGCCAGGAGAAGGAACGAAGCCAGGTGGAGGAAGGCAGCCAGGAGAAGAAAGGCAGCCAGGAGAAGAAAGGCAGCCAGGAGAAGGAAGGCAGCCAGGAGAAGGAAGGCAGCCAGGAGAAGGAAGGCAGCCAGGAGAAGGAAGGCAGCCAGGAGAAGGAAGGCAGCCAGGAGAAGGAAGGCAGCCAGGAGAAGGAAGGCAGCCAGGAGAAGGAAGGCAGCCAGGAGAAGGAAGGCAGCCAGGAGAAGGAAGGCAGCCAGGAGAAGGAAGGCAGCCAGGAGATGGAAGGCAGCCAGGAGATGGAAGGCAGCCAGGAGATGGAAGGCAGCCAGGAGATGGAAGGCAGCCAGGAGATGGAAGGCAGCCAGGAGATGGAAGGCAGCCAGGAGATGGAAGGCAGCCAGGAGATGGAAGGCAGCCAGGAGATGGAAGGCAGCCAGGAGAAGGACGGCAGCCAGGAGATGGAAGGCAGGCAGGAGATGGAAGGCAGGCAGGAGATGGAAGGCAGCCAGGAGATGGAAGGCAGGCAGGAGGAGGAGGAGGAAGGCAGGCAGGAGGAGGAGGAGGAAGGCAGGCAGGAGGAGGAGGAGGAAGGCAGGCAGGAGGAGGAGGAGGAAGGCAGGCAGGAGGAGGAGGAGGAAGGCAGGCAGGAGGAGGAGGAGGAAGGCAGGCAGGAGGAGGAGGAGGAAGGCAGGCAGGAGGAGGAGGAGGAAGGCAGGCAGGAGGAGGAGGAGGAAGGCAGGCAGGAGGAGGAGGAGGAAGGCAGGCAGGAGGAGGAGGAGGAAGGCAGGCAGGAGGAGGAGGAAGGCAGGCAGGAGGAGGAGGAAGGCAGGCAGAAGGAGGAGGAAGGCAGCCAGGAGAAGGAAGAAGGCAGGCAGGAGGAGGAAGAAGGCAGGCAGGAGGAAGAGGAAGGCAGGCAGGAGGAAGAGGAGGAAGGCAGCCAGGTGAAGGAAGGCAAGCAGGAGGAGGAAAAAGGCAGGCAGCAGGAGGGAGTCATTCAGCAGGGTGAATGGAAGCAGCAGGAGAGGGAAGTAAAACAGGTGAAGGAAGGAAAGAAGCGTAAGCGGAAGCAGGGAGAAGGAATGAAGCAGAAGCAGCATGTAGGAAGGAAACATGTGAATGCTTCACCAGAGATGCTCAAGCATCCTCTTAAAAACACCTGGACAATGTGGTATTTCAAGATAGAAACTAACCGACCTTGGGAGGAATGTCAGACAGAAATAACCAGCTTCAACACTGTCGAGGACTTCTGGGCGTAAGTTGAATTTGATTTTAAATTTAATTTTATAATATTTAAATATTTAAGGGTACAGAAATTTTGATGTAGGCTTGTGTTGTAATGATTTGATTGCTATTTGCTCTGGATATTGTTGGAAATTTATTAGTTGTTTAACTAGAAAGTAAGTTCAGATTGCTTAATATTCTTAAGATTACTCTAGGTTTTACAAAATAGAGTAGTTAAATTTGAAGTGGAATGAAATTTTTAGTTTACATTGCACATAGGTTTGGCAAATGTCCCATTGCAACACAGTTTTCAGGCTGGATTAACTCCTGCACTTTGCTGACTGAAGTAGTTCTGTGAAGAAGGTGATTGCTGATTTGCTTAGGATGCGAGGCCAGAGTTTACCGACATATGGGAGAGGTGATAGGCGTAGTTCATTTACAGTTTTGGGGTCATGGCCCAATCTTAAAAAAAAAAAAGTGGGTAGATCCTAAGAAATACTGGCAATAAAGGGAAATTCTTTGGTAGTTTGCATCATATAATTTAATTAATAAATTGTGTTGTTGGGGATAAGAGAAGGCCATGTACACACACACACACACACACATACAATGAGCCAGAGATATTAGAAAGAACTTTTTATAGTGTCAGAGTGGTTGACAAATGTAATGCATTAGGAAGTGATGTGGTGGAGGCTGACTCCATACACAGTTTCAAGTGTAGATATGATAGTGCCCAATATGCTCAGGAACCTGTACACCTGTTGATTGACAGTTGAGAGGCGGGACCAAAGAGCCAGAGCTCAACCCCCGCAAGCACAATTAGGTAAGTACACAATTTCTATTGAGCCAAGTACTGTTTTCCAGCCCTACATCTGTTTGGTGTAAAAAAAAATTGTGCCTTCATATTTTACTTTGTAGAATTTGGCATACATCTCATTTGCTTCCATGTCTAGTAATAATTATTTCCAATTAAGTATATTAAATAATGTGCTACTAAGTTCCTCCATAGTGTCCTCTCATGAAATCAAGTTACTCAACTATTTCAGTTTCCCCATTCTCTTTTAGATTATACTGCATTGCATATTTAATTTCCAACAGGATAAGGTCACTTATTCTCAAGGAGGAAGGTACTGAATGTCAAATATTTTTTCTTTTTTTTCTGGTGAATATTAAATCCAGTATTGACAGGACATCCCCTTCCCTCATTCTTGTGGCCTGCTTGACTGTAAGGGCATGAGCCATGAGCCACTTACACGATGTGTTGATACATGAATGTCTCCAGGAGGAGGTTTACAAATCTGCCTATTCAAATGTCCTCTGTTCTTGCTTTGTAGGCCTCCCAGTCTATTGCTTTCAAGTTGAAGTCCCTTAGTACAACAATTGTGATTCATCTTTATCTGCTCTTGCTATAACCTCTCCCAAGATCATTATGTGGCCCTCTTGTTTGTCATCTAGTTCCTCTTTTGTCCATATGCTAATCTTGATCTGAAACTTTTCCTTGTTAGGTGTAATAGAACCCATGAGCACCACAGCAGAAATAAATATCTCTATTCCCAAAGTCAGACAAAATCTGTGCAAACATTCCATGCAAATAAAAGGACCCAGTCTTTGGAATGCGCTCCCTGATGAACTAAAATATTGTCCAACTCATCCCCTGTTCAAAAGTAAAACCAAAATGTTCCAAAATTCATCCTCATAGTTTCCTACATTGTGCTTCAAACTCTCACTGTATCTTGTACTGCCCACTTCCCCAATATTACTTCTTAAGACATGTATCCTTACCACTGTGATCACCTCTTGTCAATCACCTCGCAATCGACTTGAGAATGGTCCAGGACGGATCGAAACGTTGTCGTCCCTTCACCTTCTAGTGAAGGTCTGGGTCTGGTCAACCTCTTGTCAACTTACATTGTAGTTATTTGTTGATATAAATCCTTGCTACAATGTACATTTTCATCTTATTTGATATGTTAGATTAAGGACCTGCCTGAAACGCTATGCGTGTTAGGGACTTTTCATGAATTTAAAAATACCAATCATATGTAAGCTCACCAACCCATTATACCTTCTTACAAATAAATTACAGTGGCACCTCCTCGAATAACGAATTTAATCCGTTTTGGTGCTGTGCTCGTCATGTGAAATGGACCTTGTCATGTCAAGGAGTGAGAGAGGAACTGCAAAACATCTGGAGAGGAAGCTGATAAGGAAACATAGCATGAAAGCATCATGGCAAAATTTCAGTCATCATGGAATGCATTAAAAAATGTGCCAAAAAAGAAGAAAAAGAAGGGAACTGGAAGGATGATAGTTTGTAAAATGAGCATTGATAACTAAGCAGAACCTCTGGAAAACATATAAATTGATGATCGACAACATTATTTGATATAGTGTATACAAAAGGGCACTAAACTCGGCCACCCAAGAAATAGATCAGCCAAAAGAAACTATGAAAGGAAACGTGACCAAAACATAAAGAAAGATCCAAAATTGTTCTATGCCTATTTAAGATGCAAAACCAAAACAAGGGATTCAGTAGGACCCTTAAAAGATGACTAACCAAGTTATAATAGATGATAAAAGGCGGCAAATACTCTGAATGAATATTTTACATTAATGTTCAAACTAGAAAGGTTAGATGACATCCCATCACCCACACAAATGTTCAAAGGCGGTGAAGAAATTGAAATTGAAATAAGTTTATTGATGTAAAATACATACAAAGTGATGAGGTAGCTCAAGCTGTTCTCACCCCGTTCAGTACATCGTGTTAATACATACATAGACACACATCACAAACAATAAACATATTACCAAACATTCTGAGAGATAAACATCTACATTTCCTCCTTTACACAAGTAGTATGGTATCAGACGTACACACAAATACTTTTATGACCGAGGTATACCTTATAGACAATTTGCAAGAGACATGCAGATATTCAACAAAAAATTACAGTCTTGGTGCAAAATTCTTATATCTCTCAAGAATATAATCTGCCTTTCCGTTGTGACACATCCAGGCTATTTGTTCAGGAACAGTCCTTATCTCAGTGTTTCTATATACATTAATCAACGGACAATCAAGAACATAATGAGTAAGGGTGTGAGATCTTAACATACCACATAGTTTACACTTCGTGTCATTATCATGAACACCTATCCCATATTCCCAGTAATATTCGTACCCAAGCCTGAGCCTCATGTACACAGTCACTCCAAGCATTTCTCCTTTTACCATAAGTGAAATGGGTGTTTTGACTCGCATACATGTAGTGTTGCATGGTTTGACTTCTCTCATACATTATATCTTATAAGGCAGTGAAGAGAATGAATTTATGAATATAATATAACATGCCACATAATCAGGAAGAACATTGACAAACTAAAAGACTCGAAAGTCCCAGATGTGCATGGAATACAATCCAAAGTTATAAAGGAACTGGCGGAAAAACTATGCCTTCCACTGAAATTACTTTTCACTAAATCTCTGGACCAAGGTATAGTCCCCATAGACTGGAAATATGCAAATGTCATCTATTTTCATAAAAGGCAGAAAGAGCTCAGCAGAAAATTACCGTTCAAATCGGCTTGACATCAGCCGAAGTAAGCTCATGGAGAGAGTCAATAAGGAAGGAAGTCATTCACTATCTTTCAGCGAACAATCTTGTAAAATCGATACAACATGAGTTTGTTAAAAATAGATCCTGTGTTACAAACCTACTAATTTTTTTTAGAAACGGTAACCAGCTACTCAAAGGACTTCCAGTGGATGTAGTATACATGTATTTTGCTAAAGCCTTTGATAAGGTACCACATAAAAGACTGGCAAGGAAATTACAGGCTCATAAAATAAATGGTAGAATCCTAGAATGGATAAAACATTGGTTGAAATGGAGAAAACAAAGTCGACTGGATCTGTGACTGGAGATCTGTAAGCACATTTCTCTAGTCAAAATCTGACTGGAGAATTGTGCCTTCCACATTTCTCCAGTCAGATTCGGACCCATTTAGTACGACCCTTTGTTTTCTTTGTTTCATCCATTGTTTTATCCATTCCACGGGGGGTTCATCTTGGGGGGCCAAATCTTTTGTCATTATATCAATGACATATGAGAATATTACAAACTACATCATTCGATTTGAAGATGACACAAAGATATATGGTAAAGTGATATGATAATAATGATATTGGAGCTCTACAAAGAGACCTACATGAACTCCACAAATGGTCAAAAGACTGGCAAATGCTTTTTAATATAGACGAATGCAAGACCTTGCATGTGGGGCATAGCAACCCACAACACCACTACCAAATTAATTACATTGCATTACAACAGATTGATGAAGAAAGAGACCTTGCAGTCAAAATCCATCACTCGCTGAAAGTTCCACAACAGGTAGGAGCAGTGGTTAGAAAAGCCAACCAAACTCTCGGAACAATCAAGCGTACGTTTGACTTTAAGGAAAAGAAGGGAGCGATTCAACTGTATTAATCTCTGGTGTGCCCCATCTGGATTACTGTAGCTAAGCATGAAGGCCTCATCTTCAGAAGGACATAGCTACTCTGGGGAAAGTGCAACACCAGGCAACAAACATCATTCCAGAGCCAAGTCATCTCTTGTATCAAGAACAGTTGATGGCCACAGGGCTAACAACACTGCAAATCAGGCATAAAAGGGCAGATCTCATTGAAACTTTGAAAATACTGAACAATTTGGAGGAAGTTGATCCAAACAATTTCTTCAAAAGGTCGGTTGCAACACAAACAAGAAGCAATAGTTTCAAGCTCAACAAGCCACAATGTAGGACTGAGAAAATGAGATGCTTTTTCACCCACAGGGTTATAAGCCCATAAACTGCCTACCTGCCTAAGCAGTAAATGCCAAGACTGTTGAATTTCAAAATCCAACTGGAAAAGATTATCAAGGCTTGAATCAAGGCAAGGCTAGCGAGGCTTGATTATCAAGGCTTACAGGTGGGGAGGGAGGGAGGGGGGACATTTGACAAGCTGCCAGCTTCCCACTAATGTCAGTGGTCTTCAGGCAAAATACAGGCAATGTATCTGACTGGAGGGGTGTTACTAGCATAGTACCACAAAGTTTAGTTCTTGTGCCAGTAAGGTTCATTATCTACATAAATGATCTACCAGTAGGAGTACAGAATTTTATGAATGTTTGCTGATGATGCTAAGCTACTACCTTACCTTGAGGTTACCTAGAGATGGTTTCGGGGGTTAGCGTCCCCGCCGCCCGGTCCTCGATCAGGCCTCCTCGTTGCTGGACTGGTCAACCACGCTGTTGGATGCAGCTGCTTGCAGCCTGATGTATGAGTCACATTGCATAGCCTAGTTGATCAGGTATCCTTTGGAGGTGCTTATCAAGATCTCTCTTGAACACTGTGAGGGGTCGACCAGTTATGTTCCTTATGTGTAGTGGAAGCGTGTTGAACAGTCTCGGGCCTCTGATGATACCATGGAAGATTGGAAACATAGATGATTGTCATGCCCATCAAATTGACCTACATGAAGTACATCATGTGGCAAATGAAATTGAACGTGAATAAATACCATGTTATGGAAAGGGGAATAGGAGAAATAGATCATGCACAACCTACAAATTAAGTGAAAAGGCTTAAAGAATTTTTACAAAGAAAGAGACCTAGAGGTGGTTTGTGATAGAATGCCACAAGAGGAACACCTGAATTGTGCGAGGAGCATATGCTGCACTTTCCACCTTTAGAATTACTTTTAATTACATGGATGGTGAAATACTATACTGTTCGACTTGAGACCAAAATTGGAATACACTGCAGTTGTATGGTGCCCATATCTCAAGAACCACATCAATAAAATGGAAAAGATGCAAAATCATGCTACAGAAAGGCTTCCAGAACTGAAAACAAAGAATTATGAAGAGAGGCTAGATGTATTAAATATGCCAAAACTAAAAGACAAGAAAGAGGGGATATGATCACCACTTACAAAATAACAGGAATCGATCCAATACATTGGAATTCCTGAAACTGGCAACCTCAAGAACAAAAGGTCATAGATTCAAGCCAAGGAAACAAAGGGGGCCAAAAAATATTAAAAAGATTTCTTTGGCAAACAGGACAGTTGAAACAAATTGAGGTGGTGGAGGAGGCCAAAAACCATCAGTAGTTTCAAAGCTTTATATGACGAGTGCTGGGAAGATGGGACGCCACGAGCATAGCTGTCATCTTGCAACTTCATTGAGATAATTGCCCTTTTGTAATTACACAATCCAAAGGTTGAAAAACAGGAGGGCTGGAGCTGATGAGGAAGAATCATGTTACTGAAATTGATAATAAACAATGTAATATATAATGCAATGCATTATAATCTAGAAGAGAATGGGGAAAATGAAATAATTGGAAAACTTGATTTCAGGAGAGGACAGTTTAGGGAACTTGTCAAATTAATTAAAGAACTTGGAAAGATTTCTTGTTAGGCAAAGAAATAAAGGAAATGTATGCCAAATTTTGTGACCAATTATTTTATATTTTATTTACATATATACTGTACAAGAATTCTTGCATTCTTGTAAAGCCACTAGCATGCATAGCATTTCAGGCAGGTCCTTAATCTTAATATTTCCTGGAACACGATACGACAAATTATTTAACAACCAGCCACAATGTAGACAGCCCATTCACTGCTGAGTTGAACACACACATACAATTAAGGATTGGCACCTTCTTGATCCTCCCCGGCCAGGTTACAAATCCAGGCCAAATCGCTCACGAAGTGTGGAGTGTGTGTGTGTTGCCACTGCACCATGGGGACTGCAGTGAATGATTGTGTGATGAAGGTACAACAAAATTTACACCAAGACAAAGGTTCAGAAATAGGAAGTAGGATTGATTCATAAATTGTGGGAGAGCCAGAGAATAGGACAAAAAAAAAGTGATTGGTATAGGAAGAGACCTAACCCTCAAATGTATCAGCAATACAAAGAAGCAAGAAACAAATATACAGTACAAGTAATGAGAAAGAAGAAAGGCAGAAAGAAACTTTGATAAAGGGATTGTGGAAAAGTATAAAACAGATCCAATCCTATTCTATGTAGTCATTAAAAGCAAATTCCATGTAAAAGGTAAAATTCAGAGGTTGAAATTTGGGAACAGATTCACGGAGAATGAAATTGAAAATGCGAAACACAAAAAATACAGTTCCAAAGTGTGTTTGTGAAAAATGAATTTTTCAGAGAACCAGACAATACAAATTTCAGAGAATAACTTGACAAGTACATAACAGTGTCACGAGACGAAGTGGAAAACCCCAACAGGAGCCAAGAATATGGGAACACCACTTGCACAAGACATATGAACCCCCGGCAACTTCTTGACACTTTCTTCTTCCTGGAAAAGGAAGGTGCAAGCTTCAGCTGAAACTGTGCAGGAGCTGAAAGAATAGTTTTATTCCAACAAGCAAGATATACAAACAAGTAGTCTTTAATCAAATTTTGGCAGATAGAATAATAAATTTGGTTAAGGCCAATTGTGCAGATAAAATGGCAAAGAACTTCACTCGTGCAGATGAGCCCACTTAGCTTGCATTGGAGAGAAGAATGGCTGCCAAGGAAGAAACTTGACCACATTTGCCTGGCAAGTGCACAACTTAGTTTTAACAAGGTGCTACGACAAAGGGAAAATCTGTTAGTTGATTTGTTAGAAAATAACCTCACAAGACTTAAAATATAGAGACTATTATGTGAAACAAGATTGTGTATTAAAATAAATTGGGGTGGGGGTTAAATTTTTGTCGTAGCTCAGTCAAACAAGTATACAGTAGTTTCCAAACAAAAGCAAAAATATTTATCATTATTTTATTTAACTTTAGTTAAGTTTGAGTTCTTGTATATATTGTAATATAGTTGGGAATGGATAAAAAAAATTTAATTGCCAAATAGGCAGAGAGAGAATGTAGTAAATGTTTAAGAAAAAAAAACTTTTGTTGCTCAAAGTCTACATAAGGTATTTTTGGTACTTTAATTTTTTATATGGTAGAGATGTATTTTATTTGAATATATTTTAAGTTTGTAACCAATTATGTCTTTTTTAAGGATTTTATCTTTTCATGCATTGACTTTGTCCCCCCCCCCTCCATCCTTTAGCTGTTGCTTTCTCACTCCATGAAATATTAAAATGGGATAATAATTAATAATAATAATAATAATAATAATAATAATTTTTATTTAGGTAAAGGTACATACATAAAGAGATTTTACAAAGTTTGTTGGCTTTATAGATAGAGCTAGTACATACAATGCCTAAAGCCACTATTACGCAAAGCGTTTCGGGCAGGAAAAAACACTTAATGACTAAAGCTTAAAACTAATGGGTAAAAAGAAAAAAATGCGTTGAGTACAAATAAAAATAGAGGTAAAAGAGGGGGGAGCATTGTTGAAAAAGCAGCACAAATACAATTACAAATTGTTACAGAAAATTACATTCAAACAGCGTTGATTTGAAAAATAAAAAACAAAACAAAAAACATACATGGGTTGACAATAGAGGGGTAAGGTAGGTTACAGGGAATTTATTAGGTATAGCTTCGTTTTTAACTTAAACTGGTTGAGAGAGGTACTGTCTTTAACATGGTTGGGAAGGTCATTCCACATTCTGGGCCCCTTGATTTGTAGAGCATTTGATAAGTATAGATTGATAAGTATAGATTTTTGCTCTAGTTATTAGATCACTACCATTGACAATGATACCAAAATCTTGGATAACATATTGCAATTAATTTACTTTTTCTGTTTAGTTATACATTATGTAAATACCATGCTATGTATCCTCACAAACCCAATGTACCTTTTTGTATATAAAAAAATAAATAAGTGTGTTTTTAATTTACAGATTGTATCATCATATTGAGCCTCCCTCACATTTAAAAGCTGGGCGTGATTACTCTCTGTTTAAGAAAGGAATCAAACCCATGTGGGAAGATGAGTATAATTGTCAAGGGGGTCGCTGGCTACTCAGTATCAGCAAACAGCAACGTTCTTCAGACCTAGATGACTTGTGGTTGGAAGTGGTAAGTCGGGAAATTGGTAGTCTTGAATACATTATCATGATGTTTATCATTTTGTGAATCTAAGAATCACTGTTCCTGTGACTTATGGCTTGATCAGCCTGGCAGTGCTTGTGGTATGTAGTAATGTAGTATGACTGGGGGTTATATAAATTTATTTACATGCCTGGTTTATTGAAAAATTCTTTCGGGTAAATGTAAAACCATACATCAACACTAGTGGTCAATGTGTAATAATTGCCAAAGTGTAGTTACAGGATGAGAGCTATGCTCGTGGTGTCCTGTCTTCCCAGCATTCTTTGTCATGTGACTCTTTGAATCTAGTGATGGTTTTGGCATCTGCTGGCTTGTCCTTCACTTGAAACTATTATCACTTACACACAGAAATCACAATAGCGTGATATATCAAATGAACAAATTCACAAGGGCTGTGATGAGGGTTCGGAGCTACGCACTTTAACATCTACGTGCGTAGATTCGAACCCTCATCACGGCCCTTGTGGATTTGTTTATAACGCTTGTTCTTATAGATGCAGGTTTAAAAAATTCCTGTTTTCACAGGAGAGGCTGAGCGGATTCAGGGCTCTGGGGAGCCCCTTCGGCTCCCCGGAGCTATAAATTGATAAAAATATATTAGATCCTGGCATCAGTCAATCCGAATGTAGTTTTAAGGCCTACCGGGGAGCAATGTCCTATAGAAACCCCCGTGTGGTTGGAAGCATTCTATGTCTGCCATCGACCGGGTCAGGCACCCAGGCTTCCTCTTCGGGTTTTTCGGGGTTCTGTGCCATAGCACCTACCCGAGCCCTTGCTCGATCTGTTCACGGATGCCTTGTCTCTTGGCTGGGGTTTTGTGACCAGTGCTCACCAGACCGGCCAGAGTCGGTCGATGAGGTCCGTCCATCCGTCAGGCTCACATCATTGTGCGGGATACGCGACGGTGTGGCATTCACTTCAGAGGGTTTGAGTCGCTCGTAGATTGACAATCCGGCTCCATTCGGACTGGTTCCCCTGTGGTTCATTGTCTGAAACGCTGGGGTTCGATGTGGTCTTTGACTCTTTGGGGCTGGTCACTTTGGGTGACTCATCTGCTGAGTTCTCGTGGCTTGGCTCTCCTGGTGGTTCGTGTCCAGGGAGTGTCCAACATATTGGCGGACAGCCTGTCCTGTTTCATTCCTCTGTCCAAGGAATGGACAGTCGATGCCAACTAGTTCCGTTGGCTCTGCCGGAAATTCGGGCGCCTGGACGTAGACCTCTTTGCGTCAGCTTGGTCAAGGCATCTTCCGGTATATGCGGTGCCCTTCTCTGACTGCGAGGCCATCAAGGTTGATGCGTTTCGACTGGACTGGTTAAGGTGGGGTTACCTATACCTCTTCCCACAGCCTCCACGGCATGGGACGTGCTTTGGGTTGACCCGGTTTCCCTTCTTCCTTGTCCCAGGACGCGTATCTTCCAGGTCATCCTCAGGATTATTCGGTTCAACCAGATTGCGTTCTATCCCCGTGCCCACGATGTTTGTAAGTTTGCTGCTTTGGTTGCTAATTTGGGTAATATGTCCTGGTCTGACATTCGGGCACTGGGCTTTTTGAGGTAAATAGGGTCCTGACCGCATGGTACCTCGTTCATGTTCCTGGCATTTCTTGGACATGTATATCCTTAGGTCGCAGATTGCAGCTAGTTCTCTCGACTTTGAATTGAGGAGCGAGTGGCGAGTCCCTCTTTTCCTTAATCTTTGGTTAGGTAGGTAGGACAGTGGCGCGGCAATGTGTGACGTCATGCTTATATGCTCGTTTCTTTTTTGGGGAGTTTGGTCCACTAGTTCGGCTTTTTGTAGCAATTTTCACCAGAACGGGGGTTTGTTTTGGGGCGCCTATCTTTCTGGGTGCCTGATTGGTTGATGGCAGACATAGAATTCTTCCAACCACACGGGAGTTTCTATAGGCCATTGCTCCTCGCACCTATCTGAGGGGGGCCAGGTTCTGCCTCGTGGTCCCCGATAGGCCCAAAGAACTCCATACACATGACATGCCAAAGTCTGACATTAGCAATATCAGCTTGGATATCTCTGGGGAGCCTCCGGGTCTCGCCCAGAAAGTGGCGTTTCATAACATTCAAAGCTGGTTTTTTTTTTTTTTATATATATGTACATGTTCACAGAAGGGAATTTAGCATTTTACAAAAAAAAAAAAAAAAGCGAACACTTGATTTTCGGCACACAGTCAGAAATTCACAATAAACACTGCGCATCACAGTGGTTAATATTTAAATCACGTCAAAAGCTTTATTCATGAATGGTTGTACATTTAGAATTTTACATAAAAAATAGTTAATTAATTGAATGTCACAATAACAGCAATGTAGGGAGAACTGTGTAGTGATGTGGTTTAAAGAGGAGGTTATTGTTGTCAACTTTTGTTTTTAAGGTAAACAAAGTTTTACAGTACTGTACTCATATTTTAGTAATCATATTTCAGTTTACAATGCCAATAGACACATGCCTCAAACAGGATTAGGCAATGATTCAGACATGTACAATAAAGTACCAACTACACAGCAACTTGCCTTCTTTTGTCAGAAGCATATCACAAAATTATGACCAAAACATAGCCTGATCAGTCGAGTCATTTGATTGGTCTACTAAAAAAATTCCAATACTATGTTTTAAATTAATGTGTGTTTAATATATTATCTACCATTATCAACATTAAATTTCTCCATAACATTCTTAATTCAATAGATTTCACAGATAACAAATCTGAGGGATTATAGTTCTATGGCTTCGGCTCACAGCTGAGGGATGTGGGTTCGATCCCCAGGCAGGACGGAGATATGGTTGGGCACCTTTTCTTTCACCTAATGGCTCTGTTCACCTAGCAGCAAAATGGGCATATGGGAGTTAGGCAACAGTTGTGGGTTGCACCCTGGGGAAGGTCAGTAGTACAAGCTTCATGTCCCTGACAGTGGGAATTAATATCCTGAATGTCAGAGAGTCAGTGATATTGCATTTTCATTCTTGTTTTCAGTACTTTAAATAATACAAAATTCCTGAACAGCTGCTGCTAATGATTGGTGAAGCTTTTGATAATGCTGGTGAAGAAGTGTGTGGAGCTGTTGTAAATATTCGCAGTAAGGGAGACAAGATAGGTGTGTGGACTGCAGATTCAACAAAGAGAGAGAGCATTCTTAAGATTGGGTAAGTGAATTTTTTTCTCTATAATATAATGGCTAATAAAAGCAATATTTTAAGTGTCCATTGAACTTGCTAATATAATTAAAGAATTCCTTGGCATTGCTGTTCTTGTACAGCAAAAGGCTTTCATTTCAATAAAATGTATCCAACTTGTAATTGTCGTCAGTAGGTCTTGACATGGCTGCAATTCTCTTGTGTTGAATAGAAATGCTTAGGGTTAAATCTTCAGGAATGTTGCATAATCAGTAAGTATAGGTGTCCCATGTAGAATTATTTTTGTGTTTAATTTCTTGTCTGATATCTGGAGAATTTCTTTGTGTATTTTCTTGAAGTGTTACTTTGGAATGTTAGTTGGACTTGCTTTTTCTTCCATTGCAAATGCAATGCTGGCGACATCAGATACACTGAATATTATCTTAAAATTGTTGGCCAAATTGTTGTATATTAGCTTAGACTAGATTCTGGGTACTGTATATCTAAATGTGTTAAAAATTCTTAAAACTGTATATCTATATATGTTAGATATCCTTTTTCTGGGAGAGCTTCCCTATGTGGCTCCCCTCACTACCCACCTGGCTACATCCAAGCCTAAGTGTCCTACGATACTGTTATGAATCATGAGCAAACTACCAGAGGCCAAGACCAGAATCACTCGCTTTCAGTAGACAAAGAGAGTCTGGTTAGGTAGCTTGGAAAGATACCGAGGGACCCACCAGAAAGAGGCAGATCAAAATATTAGAACACTCATTTTACACAGGAATATATAGGAGTAGACAGCTTTTGACTTCTGCTATCAGGCAGAAGTCAAGAAGTCGGCAGAAGCTATCCTGCCTGAATAGCAGGCAGGGTAGCTCCCTTTGTATAGCTCATATTAGGGTTTACCCTGCTAGTTTTCTCTGAAAAACACCCTGCCAATTAGTTTATAACTAGGTCTCCAATTTCTGATGGGTGAATAGGAGCAAATAGTTAAAGATTGGTGCCCAGTCAAAACAGTGAGTAACCAATTTTCTAAACACATTATAATACACACTGTCCATAAATTCACACATTAACTACTAAGATTTTTTTTAATTATGTGACACAAAATATCCAGGTAATGTTTATTTTCTTTTAGTAGCTGTATAGATAAATCAAGCAAGAATATTTCTTTTTTTTTTTTTTTTTTTTTTTTTTTAAGAATGACAAGTGTCAAGGAAAATGAGTCTGCCACTGACACTAATTGCATTAACATTTGTTTGCAAAATAACATTGCTCAATTAGAACTTTGAGAGTAAAGAGGATTAGCTCTTTGAGAGTGATGATGGTACTACAGACTGGGGCAGTGGACCTGGATGGGATTCTGGGAATTGTTGTTCAACTCAAGTCTGGCCCGGTACGATGACCAGGCTTGAGGAGTAGAGCTTGGTCCAACAGCTTGGAGCATGCTTTGAGCATATCCACATATCATCCATTGCAGCCCAGTTGGTCTGGCACTTCTTGCAGAAAACTGTCCAGAATTTCTTGCCTTCCACTTTTGTTCCAGCAATATTTCTTATACTTGTTGGGATGATATTGAACAACCGTAGGCCTCTGATGTTCACCCAGTGCTCTCTGATTGTTTCTATGGCACCTCTACTCTTCACTGGCTGTATTCTGCATTTCCTTCTATATCATTCATTCCAGAATGTTATTTTACTGTGCAAATTTGGCACAATAAAATAATCATCCTGCATGATTTCAAATTTTGACATGCATTTCTCTGTCTTGTCCATCAGCAGATTGCTTTTCATCTTGTAATTTCTATTGTCTAATACCCTGTACCACTACAAATATTAAAGTTCTTAGCCATCCATCACTGTACACACACTTATTACAAAGCTTCATTTGCTGGTGAAATTGTTTGGCCTGTTCCACTCCCAGACAGCCTCATCAACACTTAACACAAGCATTACTAATAACTTTTCTGTTGCGTATTGCTGTATCACTCTCACTTTTAGCATAACAGAACTGAACTGAACTTGCAAATCTTCTCTTTAGTATACAATATATCATGAAGAGTGGTTTTGCTAACTTTGTATTTGGCACAGATAATACACTTAGGCATTCCAGATTTGGCATCAATTATAAGCTGAACTTCTTGTTCAAAATTCATCACCATGTTTTCTCTTGACTTTACTGCTTATTGAAGCTCTGAACAACAGATTGTTTTTATTTCCTAATGTCATAGTGGCAGGATGCAATATATATTCGGATATAAAACTGTGATAGAGGGGAAGGGCTTTGTCCACTGTGAACATAAAAACAAGACTGGTTGTGGAACACGTGTAGAGGTCGCACCATGGTAACTCGGTGGCCAGCCCACAAACTACATAGGCCTCTCATGGGTGTTGTTGTCTGGGGTCGAACTTGCAAATGAATAGATGGAATAATCAGATAGTTGAGGCTTGGATAAAGGGTCAGACTGTGTAATTACCCAAGTGTATTTACAGGATGAGAGCTATGCTTGTGGTGTCCTGTCTTCCTCGTCCTCTGTTACATGATATTTTGAAACTACTAATAGTTTTGGCATTCACCACATTCTCACTTAAATTGTTCCAACTGTCTACAACTCTACAATGGTAAACTTTCTAATGTTTTCTGAGGAGCCCCTCCAGCTCCCTGGCGCTATCGGGGTAATAAGCGATACGTTAGACCAGGGCATTAGTCAATAGAGTTCATCCTACCAGGGACCACGAGCCAGAACCTGGGCCCCTCAAAGAGGCACAGGGCCAGGTTTAGGTACCCAGAAAGCTAGGCATTACAAAACAGACCCCACATAGTAAGAAAATTGCAAACCAAAACCGAACTGAGGCAGAACTCCATCAAATCTCAAGGGAACGCGTAAACCTTGCCACTCGTCCGCACAGCCCTCCCCGGGATGGACCCCAGGACCCCCCCCCTCCTCGCCGGCCACTCAGCAACCAGTTCGTTGGCTGGGTAGCCAACGCCCTTGATCGTAGTTCGATCCAGGGCGGTTGTCAACTCGGGCCTCAGTTTCATGGCAGTGTTTTGCCTTAGTGGTGTCCTCTGCTGCTTATAGTGTGATGGCCAGGTGTAATTAAGTGTACCAGGGCTGCATGCATTTAGGGCAGCCTTCCCTAGGTGCCCTGTGAGGACTACCCTTGGGTGTCAGGGTTCTCTTCCCTGGTGCTTTTGGGACGCAATTTCCATAGGGGTTTTTGCTGCTTGGCATTTACCCCGCCCTTGGGGCCAGCTGCGGTTTCGTAACCCTTGTTTTGCCTTGGGTAGGGAATGGTATTGTTGCTGGTTGAGGCATAAAAGTGTTGCGCAGTCAGCTTACCTATGCAGCAGCCGGTTCCCGTTTCCTCTGGGGATGTTGCAATTTTGAGGGGTTTTCTTATACTTTTTGTTTTGTTTGTTGCCTAGTGGGGGTCTGCCTGGTGTGGCTATGGGACCACTTATGATATTTTGGTGGCTCTGCTAGGCCGCCATGATTGTACACGTCACAGGGTTTTCAGTGTTTGATCTCCCTTTTGTTAGCTTTGGTTTCGGTATCAGACTCGGACTAAAACAGACTCAAGAATGTCTTGAGCGGACCACAGGACTCGGCTCATTATCTCCAGTAACCTCAGTGGGGAGTGAGAATCCTCTCACCAACAGGATAGTATCCCCAGGGAGGAATATAAAAGAAACCTCCCTCCATCCCACCCCATGTCCATTCCCCCCCCCCCCAATCACCTGCACCTCCCCAGTCAGTAGAGACCCTCTTCAGACCATTTCCCCCACTCCTAGGCCCCCCATGCTCCCCACCACCTGGTCCCCCCCCCCATGCCCTCCTTCCCCAACCCCTTTCCCCACCCTGTTCCCACACCTCATGCCCTCCTTCCCCAACCCCTTTCCCCACCCTCCCTGTTCCCACACCTCATGCCCTTACCTGTTTCTCCATCCCATGTCCTTCCCGGTACCCCCACTCCAAGCTCTCCTTACTACCACACCCCCGCTCACCCAAGGCTTCCCTTCCCTCCCCTCCCTAACCCCTGACCTTCCAGTTGCCCTACCCCAGGCTCCTCTTCATTCTTCAACTATTACCTCCTCCTCCCACATGCTCCTCCTGCTCCCCCATCCCATGCCTAAATTGACCCTCCTAGCCACACCACCCCCAGACCCTCTTAGCTTCCCCATACAGCATCCTCCCAGTCCCCCTCACATCCCAGAAAACCCAGATCCTCCTTCCTAGGCCCTCCCACCCCAGATTCCCCAGGTCCTCCTTCCTAGGCCCTCCCTCCCCAGACACAACTTGCCCCCCTACTCCAGTGGAATCGACATAAACCTAGGATGAAAATAAGAGAGTCAGTTTCAAGGTTATTTATTATTACAAAGTTAAGTTCTGAATAAACATAGCTTGTAACAGAACTCATGGGCACCACACCAGAAAAATACCTGTTGGTATTCTAAGAGTGCAACTTAACCAAACTAGAAATGCTCTGCAAATCAAGGGACCCAAAATGTGGAATGACTTCCCAATCACGTCAAAGGCTGTACCGCTCTCAACCAGTTTAAGAGTTTAAGAAAACTAAGTACTATCTAATAAACTCCATGTAACCTACCTTACCCCCCTTAATGTCAACCCATGTCTTACTATTTTGAAACAATACTGTTTGTTTACCAACTTGTATAACTATCGATTTCTGGCATGTTTTATTACCCCCCTTCCCCTTTTTTCCTTTTTCAATTCAATTTGTGTGTTGATCTCGAATAGTATTAAATTTTAGTCTAAACTGTTTTTTCTCACACCTAACCCAAAACGCTGTGCGTATTAGTGACTTTAGGCATTGTATGTACGCTGTATGTACTAGCTCTATCTAGAAATCCAACATTGTTTGTAACTCATCTTGTATGCATGTACTTTTACCTGAATAAACATTTGATTTGATTTGAAGATAATGTACTCGAACATAAATGGGATTACAAGCAAGGCAAGTGAACTTGGGGAAAGAACACAAGAAGAGAACCTGATGTAATCGGACTCACGGAAACAAAACTGAGGAATCATAATGAATGCGGTGTTCCCCCAGGACTACACTAATAAGGAGAGAGGGGGAAGGAAGGGGAGGAGGTGGAGTGGCTCTATTGATAAGAAAGGATTGGAGTTGACGAGTCATAATAACATGGCTAAAGTAAGTTGACGAGACCACACTAGAAGGTGAAGGGACGACGACGTTTCGGTCCGTCCTGGACCATTCTCAAGCCGATTGTGATGAGGAAGTAGATGCAGGTAATAAATAGGCTAGAGAGAGGTGAGGAGCAAATCTCCTCTACTACACTTTGCTCCTCACCTCTCTCTAGCCTATTTATTGCCTGCATCTACTTCATCACAATTGACTTGAGAATGGTCCAGGACGGACCGAAACGTCGTCGTCCCTTCACCTTCTAGTGTGTGGTCTGGTCATCAAAGGAATGGAGTTTCGAGGAGATGGTTATCCCAGGCTGCAAGGGGTTCAGAGACTACATAACAGGCACCATGACAATGGGAGGACCAAGAATAGTAGTAACAGTGATATATAACCCTCTACCAAATGACAGAAGACCCAGGCAAGAGTATGACAGAAATAACATGGCAGTTAACACTATAATTGAGAGCAGCCACTGCTGCCTGTAGAAATAGATCCCATCTTGTATACCACATGTGTAAGGCCAATCCTGGAGTTTGCGGCCCAAGCATGCATATGGTTCCCGTACCTTGTCAAGCACAAGATGAAACTGGAAAAAGTTAAAAAGTTCACTCGGCTAGTCCCAGAACTAAGAGGAATGAGTTATGAGGAAAGGCTGTGTGAAATCACTTCACGTCGCTGGAAGATAGAAAGAGCTCGGGGAGACATGATCACCACATACAAAATTCTTGGGGGGTGGGGGAATTGACAGGGTAGACAAGGATGGATTATTTAACATGGGTGGTACATGCATAAGGGGACACAGGTGGAAGCGTGAATACGCAAATGAGCCACAAAGACTTTATAAAGAACTTTTTCAGTGTCAGAGTAGTTAATAAATGGAATGCAATAGGAAGTGATGTGGTGGAGGCAGACTTCATACACAGGTTTCAAATGTGGATATGATAGAGCCCGAGAAGCTCAGGAATCTGTACACCAATAGATTGACGGTCGAGAGGTGGGACCAAAGAGCCAGAGCTCAACCCCCGCAAGCACAACTAGGTGAGTACATCAGTTCAAGATCTAAAATGATGGGCATCTGGCTCCCCGTCCCATCTTTCGGGGGGGGGGGGTTAATGCTAACAAGCATGATTGCTAGTTACATGCAGTATTGCTTGTTTGTTTTCTTTCTGGGGGAGTTCTTTTGCTCTTTCTAGACGTAGGTCGCAATTTTCACCAGACTGTGGTTTGTTTTGTTTAGCCTATCCCAGAACTAAGAACTAGTCGGAGCCTGGCCTGGGTGCCTTCCCCGGTCCATGGCAATTATGACATACTTTAAATGTAAAGTGTGTACAGGCCATTGCTCCTTGTGCTTCTGAAGGGGCCAGGCTCTGGCTTGTGGTCCCTGGTAGGCAAAGGACTCCTGTGACTGAAGACCCCAAACTAATATAGCACTACAATATATATCAGTTTGGATTTGCTTCAGGAAGCCTCCGAAGCTCGACCAGAAAATGGAGTTTCAATATATTTAACGATGGTTTTTTGGTGTACTCTGCCTCTCAAGAGTGCTTTAGCAGAAATGCTGCTATAGGGACCTGGGCAAATATACTATTTGAATTACTTCAGGATGGAAGCAATAGGTAGGTAGGTAGCTAGCCACTAGTTTCATCATCACTTTAGGTTAGCATCCACCTGTAAGTTTCTCTTTTATTTCATTCTTTGTCTATGGAACTTGCAGACAGATTGTTTAAAAATTACTTTTGAACTCGTGAAAACTAAATTTTACAACCTGATCTGCCATTTTGAAATCTGTTCATCTGTTCATAGCACTTTTGTTCAATGCTTATGGTTGTTACTGTATATACAGAATTCATTGTGTCAGGGAACAGCCAGCCATTTTATATATATATAGTATTTGTTAGGCTTTTATCGAGGTCTCCTTAACCCCTCCCCCCTGTGTTCTGTGTTCACTCGTGTTCACTCTTTTCACTTTGGTCTCCTCAATTCTCGTCTTAGGTCTTTCATTTTGGTATCGCTGTGTTCGCAATAGAATTCCCTACACGAGTATATGCATATAATGTCCAAAACCGTGGCGTGCCCCACCCACAGCCAAGCCGAAAGCAGGCCAAATTTGTAAATTTTTTACGCCACATTGCGTCATTACCCCACATTCGTCTACTAAATTGTTTACGCCATACTGCGTTGTTACCGCTTTAAAGTGTTAATTTAAGATCAGACCTTTCTGAATGTGTTACCCTGGCTGGCTGGCTGGCTGGCTGGCTCTTGTCTCTGATGACTTTCAACCACTGGTAGAATAGTCGAGTTTTTCTCAACAAACATTCAGGAATTCTGGGTTTGAATCCTGGGTGGAACAGAAATGGTTAGGCATGTTTTCTATCATGTGCCTGTTCATCTAGCAGTAAATAAGTACCCAGGCATTAGTCAGCCTGTTGCGAGGTTGCATCCTGGAAAGGGTTAGTAATTTGATCTTTGGTACCGCGATTTAAGCGTAACATGTATATATATATATACACTGGCTGCCCCCCCCCCCCCCCCCCCCCCCCGGACACATTTAATTAAAATTGAATTACTAATGGTCCTCCCAGTACATCATAGGATTTCAACCATCAATGGTATGTGTTATCCTACCTTCATAATTCTTTAAAGTATACAGGATCATTACACAGTAGCTCTGGAAGCAGCAGATTATTATTTTTTTCAAGCTACATGCTAAACAAATATTATTAAAATTTTTAAAAAGTGGAGATTATATCTCATCAGACCTAATTTTTGTTTCAGTGAGATGTGTAAAGCTGCAATGAAAAGAGACTTGGCTCAATCTTTTAACTACCAAGCACATGCTGCCCAGTTAAGAAAGGGCTCAAATGTACGCAGCATGTACACCATTTAAACAAAAGTAATGAACCATAGCTGAAGAATATGAATATATATATACTGTATCAGTATTGAATAATGTCAAACTTTCCCTATCTGGATACTGTACATAAAATTTTTTATTATACTGTATTTTTATTTCTAAAACTGTATCTTACAGTATAAATTGATGAATTGTCGTCTTTAATTAGAAAGATGGTTAAAAATGTAGTATTTAAGTTCCTTTATCTATGCAAGAAAAGAATGCCATGTTGTACTGTTTTTCTATACAGTAGTTTAATAACAAACTGTTCTTTATTAATATTTTCATTGTTGTACCAGGTATGTTGCCACAACTGGCAACCTTGGTATGAATACTTTTCGTATAAAATCTAAAAGTTTTAATTTAGTTACAGTACTTTACACTCGAGTAAAATTGAGAAGAATTTTATTATGAAAATATATATATACAGTATATATATACAATAGTTATATTAAATTGTATGTTCACTTCATTTTTTTTGGTCCCCCTAGTCTGCATAGCATTGCAAGTAAATCTTAACTAACAAATTTGGTCACAACATGATTTATTATTATTATTATTTAACAAAATATAAGCTAGAATTTACAAGTTAATATGCAATTGCAGTTTTGAGTTTTATCAAATATTGAGTAATGTTATATATTACCATGTTTAAGCACTTCAATATGAATGTTTTTCTGAAACAAGATTAAAATATTTAAGTTTTCTTGTATTTGGCTTTCATTTAGGTATATAATACATGTAAATACCGTATGAGATATTGGAAGTTTGAAATGGTCCAATTTTGAATAAAAGTTAACTACTTTTATTAGTGTACTGTATTATTGCTGCCTATTGTCAATATGGAAGGGTATTTTGTTATTTAAATTTGGGTGTACAGGTATAATAATAACTTTTAATTAAGTTACTTTTCAATGGGAACCACCTTGTTCAATTCCTTCAAAAAGAATTACTGGGAAAAATAGGCAGATGTATCTACAATTTCCTGACTATCAGAACCCAATGTGTAATAGTCAACAAAATAAAATCCGGTCCATCAACCGTGAAGAGCTCAGTCCCCCCCAGGGTGCTGTGTGGTACTTTTTCTCATCCTCATATCTGACATAGACGAGGACACAATCTATAGCACTGTATCGTCCCTTGCAGATGACACTAGGATTTTCATGAGAGTTGGCAACATAGAGGACACGGCAAACCTCCAATCAGATGTAGATCAGGTCTTTCTATGGGCTACAGAAAATAATATGGTGTTTAACGAAGATAAGTTCCAGCTCATGCGCTACGGAAAAAATGAAAATATAAAAACGGAGGGAAAAGTACTGGATCAAGCATGGTATCTTAGGGGACTGAGCTTTTCATGGTGGATGAATCAAATTTTACTTTGTTGACTATTACACTTCAGGTTCTGTTTGTTAGGTAGTTAAAGATTTATCTCCCTACTTTGCCAGTACTGTATGAGCTCAGTTATCCGGATTCCTCTTAACTGGATATTGGGGTTATCCTGTCAAAATAGCATCCAGATAATTATCTGGCAAAACTGTAATATTTGAATAGAACGGTAATCCAGAAAACTGGAGATTTGGCAGGATACTGCAGACGGGCATAATTTAAATCAAGTCCAGATAACTTTCTGCCAACTTCACCTTATCTGGACAGAAATCCAGAAAAACCAGAGATTTTGCTGGAAACTGCAGACGGGCTTTGGGCCAAACCGTGTTAATCCCGTTCAGCAGTGGCTTGCGGCACTGGGTGCCTCACCCCATACTGGGATGGGTTGTTTCTGGCTAGGGGATGTCAGGAGAATCAGGAAGGACTGTCTGGGGAATGGGTGGAATGTAGAGGGGCCTATGATCTGTATTGCATCTTGCTACACACGAGTAGCAAGATGCTCGCCTGTTGTTTCGCAAGCACTTGGTCCTGGGTTCGTATCCTGGCCAGGGAGGATTTACTGGACATCAATCCTTAGCTGGTTAAACAATTTGGTGGGTCGTATTCCGGGGAACATAGGATTAAGGACTTGCCTGTAATGCTATACGTGCTAGTGGCTATAGAAGAATGCAAGAACTCTTGTTATCCACTATCTATGACAATAATCACTTTAATGATCTACATCTGGACAAATATAACCTCTCCGCTTACTTCAGGTATAATCACCGATAGCACTACAGACCATTACCCCACCTTTCTCTTAACTAACATTAGCAAACCACCTCTAGAAACAAGGGAGTTAAGCTTTAGGCTGCACAATGAAACTGCTATAAACAATTTTATAACTGCTGCTGATAATGTCAACTGGGAGTCCGAGTTAGGTAACATAGGGGACATCAACCTAGCAGTGCAATCTTTTCTACAAACAACTCTTAGCCTTTATAATACCCACTGTCCTATGCTTACAAAACAAGTCACAACCAAAAGGCTTAACAATCCCTGGCTTACAAAGGGAATACTTAAATCTATTAATAAAAAACATGACCTTGAGAAAAAGTATAGGTTAGGGATTGTCTCCAAAGAATTCTCAAAGAATTACTCATTATTGCTATCTAAGATAATTAGACGAGCCAAAACTAAATACTACGAAGATAAATTTACCCAAATAAAGAGCAACATTAAACAAACATGGAGAACAATTTCACAAATATTGGGATCAAAGAAGTCTTTAAATAACAAACCGACTCTCCTGTCTAATAACGATGGTCAGCTTTCAGCCTCTGATTCTGCTATTGAGTTCAATAGGTTCTTCTCTTCCATTGGTTCATCCCTTGCTAATGATATTCCATCTTCCAGTACTGACATTAAGGACTATCTGACAGGGAACTATCCCCAGTCTCTGTACCTAAAGCCTATTAATTCCATTGACGTCAATGAGATAATCCTTTCCCTTAAAACCAAGTCTGGTGCCCTTGAGGAGATACCAACTTTAATCTACAAAAAAGCCTCCAGATCTTTAGCCCCTGCTATTGCTTTGCTCTTCAACAAGTCACTTGAACTCCAAACCTTTCCAGATATTCTAAAAAAAGCGAGAGTAACGCCTGTCCACAAATGTGGTGATCTCACAGATGTTAACAACTACAGACCTATATCAATCCTGCCAAACTTGTCAAAAATTTTTGAAAAACTAATCTATAAGCAGCTTTACTCATATCTAGCCAAACTCAATATACTTAGCCCTTGCCAATATGGCTTCAGGCCCAAAAAAAGCACTAACGATGCACTTATTAGTATGCTTAACTCGATTCATACAGCTCTTGATAAAAATGAGTTCCCTGTTGGGTTATTTGTGGACCTGCGTAAAGCTTTCGATACTGTCAACCACCAAAACCTTCTTCTTAAATTACATCATTATGGTGTCAGAGGACACTCCCTACAATACCTCAAATCCTACCTTACTGACAGGCTCCAATGTGTTTCTGTGAATAATACAATTTCTCCCACCCTACCCATCAACATTGGTGTTCCCCAGGGCAGCATACTTGGCCCTCTCCTCTTTCTCATCTACATTAATGACCTTCCAAATGCCTCCCAACACCTCAAACCAATCCTATTTGCTGACGACACAACCTTCATTTACTCCAGTCCTGATCCCCTTGCTCTAAATGCCACAGTAAATACTGAGCTAAATAAAGTCCATCTGTGGCTAACTGCCAACAAACTCACCCTTAACATTGACAAAACTTTCTATATTCTGTTTGGCAATAAATCCTCTAATCAAATAAATCTCAAAATAAACAATACCCAAATTTGTAACAAATTAGATGGCAAATTCCTTGGCATTCTCATTGACCACAAGCTGAATTTCCAGGGACACATTCTAAACATATCTAAAAAAGTTTCAAAAACTGTGGGCATTCTTTCTAAGATCAGATATTATGTACCACGCCCTGCCCTGGTGACTCTCTATTACTCCCTTATCTATCCATATCTCAACTATGGTATTTGTGCTTGGGGCTCTACTACCCAAAATCATTTACGTCCTCTAATTACTCAACACAAAGCTGCTATTAGGACAATATCCAATTCTGGCCCCAGACATCACTCGGTACCCCTATTCAAATCCCTGAATATGTTAGACATTAAGTCACTGCACATTCTCTCATGTGTACTATACATATACAAAACGCTAAATTGTAATGCCAATCCTGATCTCAAAAGCTTCATAGAAGGTTGTAACAGAACCCATGAGCACCACACCAGAAATAAATACAGTTTTGATATTCCTAGAGTACGACTTAATCAAACCAGAAATGCTCTACAAATCAAGGGGCCCAGAATGTGGAATGACCTTCCCAACCATGTTAAAGACAGTACCTCTCTCAACCAGTTTAAGATAAAAACTAAACACTACCTAATAAATTCCCTGTAACCTACCTCACTCCTCTATTGTCAACCCATGTCCGTTATTTTCTTTTTTTTAATCAACACTGTTTGTCAACCTATTGTATTTGTGCTGCTTTTTCAGTCATGTTCCCCCTTTTTTTTATCTTTATTTGTATTTGTTCTCAACACTTTTTATTCTTTATGCTCAATTAGTATTAAGTTCTAGATATTAATGTTTTTCTTGCCCGAAACGCATTGCGTAATAGTGGCTTTAGGCATTGTATGTACTAGCTCCATCTATATATCAATCCATTAATGTAACATCACTTGTATGTATATACCTTACCTGAATAAACATCTGAATCTGAATCTGAATCTGTCCGAATTCAACTCAAACCTTAGAAATCTAATACTTGATAACAGACTGAACAAAAACCACCTAATTATCGCAGGGGACTTTAATATTGACCTCTGCGAGCCTGAACACCCTACTGCTGTTAGCTTCCTCAACTGTATGAATTCCTGCTTCCTCATACCCTTAATCACTAGACCTACTAGAATCACTGATAGCACTGCCACGACTCTAGATCACATCTGGACAAACATAACCTCTCCGCTTACTTCAGGTATAATCACCGATAGCACTACAGACCATTACCCCACATTTCTCTTAACTAACATTAGCAAACCACCTCTAGAGTCAAGAGAGATACGTTTTAGACTGCACAATGAAATTGCTATAGACAATTTTATAACTGCTGCTGATAATGTCAACTGGGAGTCCGAGTTAGGTAACATAGAGGACATCAACCTAGCAGTGCAATCTTTTCTTCAAAAAACTCTTAGCCTTTATAACACCCACTGTCCTATGCTTACAAAACAAGTCACAACCAAAAGGCTTAGCAATCCCTGGCTTACAAAGGGAATACTTAAATCTATTAATAAAAAACATGACCTTGAGAAGAAGTATAGGTTAGGAATTGTCTCCAAAGAATTCTCAAAGAATTACTCATTATTGCTATCTAAGATAATTAGACGAGCCAAAACTAAATACTACGAAGATAAATTTACCCAAATTAAGAGCAACATTAAACAAACTTGGAGCACAATTTCACAAATATTGGGATCAAAGAAGTCTTTAAATAACAAACCGACACTCCTGTCTAATACCGATGGTCAGCTTTCAGCCTCTGATTCTGCTATTGAGTTCAATAGGTTCTTCTCTTCCATTGGTTCATCCCTTGCAAATGATATTCCATCTTCCAGTACTGACATTAAGGACTATCTTACAGGTAACTGTCCACAGTCTCTGTACCTAAAGCCTATTAATTCCACTGATGTCAATGAGATAATCCTTTCCCTTAAAACCAAGTCTATTGCCCTTGAGGAGATACCAACTTTAATTTACAAAAAAGCCTCCAGATCTTTAGCCCCTGCTATTGCTTTGCTCTTCAACAAG